AGAATACTGGAATGGGTTGCCATTTCCTTCTCCATCAATCATACAGGGGTATGTGTGACATATAAAACGGATAACCAACAAGAACCTACTGCAGAGCACAGGAAATCATACTCAGCATTCTGTAGGAATCTATAATGGAAAAGAATCTGAAAAAGAGTAGACATATACACATATGTACAACTGACTCACTGTGCTATAAACCTGAAAGTAACACAGCATTTTAAATCAACTATATTTCAATTTTTAAAAAGAGGTTTTTTTTTTTTATTTTAAAGTTAGTTAGATCCTGTAGTACTCCGTGTCATGAAGACCACCACCATCAAGCTCTGAAGGCCTGGTTACAAGGCAAAGGCTTGCTGCCCAAGCTGCACCGACGGGAGGGCATGTAGGCAGGCCGGCACCAGGGAGCCCCGCGCTGGGCTGGCAGCGGGTCGTGGACATTTACCACTTAGCCTCCCTTCTGGACAGAAGTTTTGAGAAACAAGAGAAGGCTGTCCTCACAGTCCTCTCCATCCTGTGGACACACAATCCCCAGAGAAGCACACGGCTCCTTCTGGACCATGAGCAGCATTCTTGTTGAAGGAGTAAGCAGCAGTGTGTAGGTAACAGCACCGTGGGCCCTGCATCTTCATTACTCCCCATCCACACCGCCCCACACACAAACACAGTGAGAGAACGCAAGTCAGGTCCCACTTCAAAGCCTTGTCCTTAACTCACCTTGGGTGAATTCACTTTCTAAAGATGGAGTAAGGAGCGCAATAATTTCTAACAAAGGAAGCATTTAGGGCTGCCAGCTCCCCAGGTTTAGCCTGGGCCGTCTGGGAAAGCAGAGGGCCTCTCTGAATCCTGAGGTCACCTTTTATGCACCACGGGAGCTGCTCTTGGCGTTTGCAGAGACGAGACACGTTCTAGTCAGTTCTGGGCCATCCCACCCCTGTGGCTGCCTTCAGTGCAACCCAAACACCACAAACTATTAGCCTTAAAAGGGCAGAAAGGGTTAGTATTAGGAATGCGAGGCCTTGCTTTTCCAGGTGCAGCTTCTAAGTACAGGATCTTACACTATATAAATTAACTTAAATGAAAGGCACCGGGGAGAGAGAATGCAAGGTGAACAAAACGGTGTTGCCACTGGGTGAAAAGGACTCTCTCTCTCAGCATTTATCACATGTCTGAGTCAGGTAAAACTTCAGTACCATTTCTTAATCAACTGCTCTAGATTATTCCTATTCACTATATTGAGTTTCTCATATATTACTTTCTATGAAGTATACTTTTATTCTCTGGTTTCTCTCATTCCAAGGTTCAGTTGCTATTACAGAAAACAATCTAGGAAAATCTCCCTCTTGGGAGGTGTCCAGACTATTATGATTGTTTCAAAAGTAAATTTTAGGTTTCTGGACCATAGACAGGTCAAACACATGGAAGGCATTCAACTAGTACTTAGCCTTAGCATTCAGCTACCTGGGAACACAAACAGACCCTGTTCCAAGCCTGGAGATACAAAGAAGACATTTAATGTGAATTATTAAAGCTGCAGTGTGATACAGTTGAAAAAAAGTTCTGGAGTCAGTCCAAGTGATCTTTTTAACCTTTTTGAGCATATCCTCTAACCTTAGTTCACTGACATATATTTACAGCACACCAGATATGATCGGGCTTCTGCAGTAGATAGATAGTGAAAACATAGAAAAATAGAAATCTTATCTATCTTTCATAGTTTTATATACATGCAAGTCCCTGACACGTGGTGTGTGCTCAACAATTGCTGGTCTCTATTTTACATCTGGCTTGCAGTCCAAATGTTCGGATTTAGCGCACAAATGACAAGTGTCCTCGTTTCTATGTTAAACCGCTAAGGGTGGTTATCATTTTATCCCGAAGAACATGACGTTAAACCCTTCAATTCTGCCCAGGGTCCTAATGCGAGTTCTCTGGTGTCCTAAGTACTCCTCCCACCTCACCTCTTTCCAGGCAACAGGTAAAAAACTTGAAAAGGATAGATTACCAGTAGGGCCGAGTTCCCACGTCTGGGTTTCCCAAAGTTGTCTGATCACAGAATTCACCTGAAACACCTGAGGAAGATTTCGGATCCCACCCCAGATCTAATGAGCGAGGGCACAGGTGCGCCTTCCGCCCCACACACTAGCCCTAGAATGCTCCGAGATTCTTCTCAGGTGTGCTTGCCGCTCCCTCCTAGTGGCTGAGCTCATTCACCTCAGCTTTCCATGATACACTCTCTTGCCTTTTCTCCATGGCTTAGTTTAGCACTAAATACTCTGGTCTCCAGTCTAGCAGAATCAACTCTCTCTGCTGGACCCCCCAGCACTTAGCAACACACATGTTGGGTTTTCTTCCCTGCCCTCTTAATGTCTCCCTTCTAGGGTTTCCCTATAAGAAGATCATTTTAAACTACCATAAATCTCTGAAGTGTCACCTTTTTCCAAAAATAATTTTCTTAATTTATAATTCCCAAACTGACTCCAATAGACAAGCAAAACATACATAATCGAGGGTCACATTTTTAGGGAATAGAAATATAAGCTATTCGTTCTATTTGTATTTTCAAAATCAATCAGCAATATGATACAGACATGGGGGAAAAAAATCCATGTACTCTCTAGAGAACTTTGTTTCTTTAAAATAGCAATAGATGAAAGGCTAGGTTTGCACTGAAAGTGACTCATGCCTTTAATTTAATATTTTATTAGATCCCTACCATGAGAAAAAAAGTTTTCAGGAAAACCGTGGAAACACAATGCCTATTAATACGGCCCATGCTTCAAAAAGATCGACTTCAGCAGAGAAGTAATGACTTGAGTGTCTGAGAAGAGGTACTAAGTTTAAATGGCATATTTAGCCTAGGAATTCATCCAACCATCCATCCAATGAGCACTTACTATGCACTCCCCAAAGACATTAAGGTAAATAAGTAATCATTCCTACACTCAAGTAAGGAGACATTCAGACAACACTGAAAAGGACAAGTGTTCTGGAAAGTATAGAAACAGTGCCAGAAGAAATTAAAGAAAATGATAAATCACCTAAAACCATGACTTTGGAGTAAAGTCTTTCCATCTGGATTTTTATCTGATATTTTCAGTATTTATAACATGCACTTGATGCCGGATGTTTAAGCTTTATATCCAATCACTTAACAAAAACCCTGCACCATCATTTTATAAGTAATCTACCTAAACTCAACATCTGTATCTCAGAAGCAAAACAAAAAACACTCAGAGAACAGTCACCACTATGAAATTAATAGGTGCTAGAGATAAGTTCAGATGAATAAAATACAACATACTTGCTTTCTATCCCTCTATCCCCTCTCAGTAAGTTTTAGTCTAACAAACTGAAGAACGCTTTTCCTTAAATGCTTTCCCAACACTAGTACTGAGATGACTTAGACCCCTTCTCTAAGTGGAAATCAAAGTTTTCCCTAGAGTATGGAAGATGACACAATTGAAATTTTTTTAAAAATGTTTAAAGGTTAGAAAATACGACAGGTCTAATTGTACACCCTACTCTCTGGACGACTCATGGTGAAATTCATGATAGACCACCTTTGTGTACCTACATAGTCTGTGGATATTAATAAACTACCTTGATCATCTAAATGTTAAAATATCTTTTTTTCTCTCTCTCTCTCCAGGGATCTCCTACTTTTAAATAGTCTCCTCTTAAATTCAAGTCAGTTAATAAAATAAGGAAACGCTGACCTCCAAAACTGGCCTAGGGGAAATCATCCTTCACACTGCACTAGGTAGCAGCAGGGAGGGAGGGGGAACATCTACACGCCCTGCATGGAGCAGACCAAGGGGCGCAAACAGAGGCAAGCTGAAATCATACGGAAGAAATCTCCAGTTTTTTTTTAGTTTTTTATTGTGATAAAACATACATACTATTTGCCATTTTAACCATTTTTAATCACACAGGTCAGGGTACATGAAGGTTCAGGTACATGAAGTACAATATTGAGCAAGTACATTAACAATATTGAGCAACCATCACCACTATTCATTTCCAGGACTTTTCATTATCCCAAGCAGAAGCTCAGGACCTATCAAAGTATAACACCTATGCCTCTTCCCCCAGCTCCTGGTAATGTCTATTCTCCTTTTTTTCTCTATGAATTTGCCTATTTCAGGGACCTCACATAAGTAGGAACATGCAGTATTTGCCCTTTTGTGTCTGGCTTATTTCATTCAGCATAATGTTTCCAAGGTTCAACTCTGTTGTAGCATATATTGGAATTTCATTCCTTTTTATGGTTGAATACTATTCCACTGTGTGTAGAGACCACACTATGCTTATCCATTCATCTGTGAATGGACATCTGGCTTTTTTTCACCTTTTAGATATTCTAAATAATACCACTATAAACACTGGTATTGAAGTATCTGTTTGAGTCCCTGCTTTCAATTATTTGGGGTACATACTTAGATATGGAATTGCTAGGTGATTCTATACTTAACTTTTTAAGAAATCACAAAACTATTTTCCACAGCAGCTATACCCAATACACTAGGGTTCCAATTCAACATATTCAAGTATTCTCTGATTCACTAATTCAGATTAACATTTACCTTTATTACCTTAAATTGTAATTTTTTTTCCTGATACAAGGAAAACAGAAAAATCAGGGACAGTAATATCTAATGACTTTTAACATTTTCCTCTTATGTGTTTTAATTATTGGAAATTCCAAATTTTTTTTTTATTTTTTTTTTCAATATAAGATAAAAAGGAGCATAATATCCTAAAAGCATATTGCAGATCCTACATTTACAACCTGTACCATAGAAACTGGTCAGTCTGAACTCTAAAAAGTCAAATATTTGAAAACCTCATGTCTGAATAAGTTGATATAAATATTTTGAAATATTTTAAAAAGAAATTTACTTTTCTTGGGGGTCAGTTCACATAATACCTGGAACTAAGCTGTCCCGGAAGCCCTTGCTTTAGTAAAAGTAGAAGAGAAAGATTTATAATAAACTTACCTAAATACCACTGGCAGGCTTTCCACAACTTTGCCCAATCTCATATGGAGGAAGACATGGACAGTTAAAAGCAATAATGATGTTTTTAAGCCTTTAACACCTGCTCTCACCAATCTGCCATCAAGTGCTTACAGGAGGAGACAACAAGTAGCAAAACAAATATCAATAGAAAACATTCAAAGCAAATCAACAGGCATATTTGGGACTCTATTGGTGGGAGTGGGATGAGATATGGGGAGGTGGACATCTGCTTACTGTTGTGACTTATTTTGTATACAAAATTATACTTCTAACTATTCCTAGTTTATGTGACAGTACTGAATATATTGCCATTTATTTCATGGAAGTCCCACACCTCTATGAAAAAGCCCAGTAGTCAAACTATTTTCAACCCATACTGCAGTTTTACATTGCTTTTAAGTAAATTGATTTTTTCAAAGTGCTTAAAGTGGTTTGTTCTCCCGATTAAGTAAATATTCCCCTTATGATCTATTTAAACTTGTTACAGTAAAACCTTTTCATATAGAGTAGTAAGCCAAACTTTATCTTAGATTTGCCTGGATAATTGCAAATTCCTAATTAGTTACAACCAGAACAATGAAGTTATTTTTAACAGAGACCCTCTCCCACCAGCTGTGGAGAAACTGACTGAGCCCCTTAAGAATAAATTAACTTGTGTTATTTCCTGGGATTTTAGAATCTTCCATTATTTCTCAAACATACTACGTTTGCTCATGTATGAAGACAATTTTCCAGATAGTTATTTTAACAGAAAGCTTTTCATAATTGAACACTATGAGTCTGTATTATATCAACTTAAACAAATTTTTCTGACTGGTTGCCTTTATAAAAAAAAAAGTTCATCTTCCGAAGTTAAAACAAGGTTGAATCAAAAGCCTTTAATTCTTATATAAATTTAGTTTTAAACATAGCCTATAGGTGCTCCAATTGTTAACATTTTTCAGATTTCAGATAGGAGCAAAGGACTATAAATTGTTACATCCTGCCCTAGCAGTTTGGTGGCAAACACAGCTCCCTCTACATCTCAAAAATATAAGCAAAAGACCCCTGTAAGTAAACAGAAAAATGACTTGAATGTGCAAAAAAAAAAAAAGTCAGAACAGCATAGAATATTTCATTAAGCACCTAGTTTAGAACTCAATAAGTGCCTCCTCAGTAATAAAACAAGTGAATGAAATAAAATTACATAATTACATTTTAAACTCAAATATAATCATTTAATACAAGGGACATTTTAAACAGATACTCACTAGAATCTCAAATTATGCTAGCTTTGGCTCAACACCATTAAAATCTTCTCCCTCCAATTATATGAAAACTGACAAGCAATAGTAATACTACAGAAACGAAAGATAATAGGAGCCAGTGACTGAACAGTGAGTTCCGGCAAGGACTTTTCATCAGCCAATGAAATTACAATCCAGATGTTTTTACATCTCAAAACCAAGAAAAGAGATTCAAGGATTGATACATTTTTAAATTAAGAAACTTCCCCACCTGTAATAGATGATCACTATAGTCTTATCTTACTGGATTTATTCTTGGTGGTTTAAAAACCTTCCAACTTCCCCTCTCCTCTGCTGATTCCAATCCCTACCCTCACGTACTTCTGGTCTCCAAGGACAGATCCTTGACACTAAACCTACACCATAAACAATTCCCCTCTGGGTAAGCTTGTGACTAGGGACCTGCTTCTCATTGGCTGTACCTTGCAAAGAGTTCAAGTACCTGCATGCTCAGCTGTGTCCAACTCTTTGCAACCCCGTGAACTATAGCCCTCCAGGCTCCTCTGTCCATGGGATTTCCCAGGCAAGAATATTTAAGCAGGTTACCATTTCCTTCTCCAGGGGATCTTTGCAACCCAGGGATCGAACCCACATCTCCAGCATTAGCAGGCAAGTTCTATGCCACTGAGGAAGCTCAGGTACCAACCATCAAGTCATCCTCCCAAGTGAGCCTGTACGTGACTTCCACAGAAAACTGCCTCTATCTAGCCACAGTGACTGAAGCCTCCTCTGCCTTTTAAAAAACACAGTAATACTATATATACTGTATTGTGTATTTTAAGGCAAAAAAAAAAAAATATGTGCTTATAAATATTTTCCTATATTCAAAGGCATTCAGTGTCAACTAAAGAATAAAGCTTTTCCTCAACTACCTAGGGGATTACCTGGTGTCTCAGGTGGTAAAGAGTCTGCCTGCAATGCAGGAGACCTGGGTTCAATCCCTGGGTTGGGAAGATCCTCTGGAGAAGGGAAAGGCTACCCACTCCAGTATTCTGGCCTGGAGAATTCCATGGACTGTATAGTCCATGGGGTCACAAAGAGTCGGACACGACTGAGCGACTTCCACTTTCAACTATCCAAGTGCATTCCCAGCAGATGCCAAGGATGAGAATTAATGTTTACTTGAAAATAACAGGCTCACAGCTGAGCTATTTCAAATCCTGAAAGATGATGCTGTGAAAGTGCTGTACTCAGTATGCCAGCAAATTTGGAAAACTCAGCCGTGGCCACAGGGCTGGAAAAGGTCAGTCTTCATTCCAAGCCCAAAGAATGTTCAAACTACTGCATAACTGCACTCATCTCACACACTAGCAAAGTAACGCTCAAAATTTTCCAAGCCAGGCTTCAATAGTACATGAACGGTAAACTTTCAAATGTTCAAGCTGGATTTAGAAAAGGCAGAGGAACCAGAGATCAAATTGCCAACATTTGCTGGAACATCGAAAAAGCAAGAGAGTATTTCTGCTTTATTGACTATGCCAAAGCCTTTGACTGTGTGGATCACAATAAACTGTGGGAAATTCTTTAAGAGATGGGAATATCAGACCACCTGACCTGCCTCCTGAGAAATCTGTATGCAGGTCAAGAAGCAACAGTTAGAACTAGATATGAACAACAGACTGGTTCCAAATTAGGAAAGGAGTACGTGAAGGCTGTATACTGTCATCCTACTTATTTAACTAATATGCAGAGTACATCATGCAAAATGTCGGGCTGGATGAAAAACAAGCTGGAATCAAGATTGCTGGGAGAAATATCAATAACCTCAGATAAGCAGATGATACCACCCTGATGGCAGAAAGTGAAGAAGAACTAAAGAGCCTCTTGATGAAAGGGAAAGAGGAGAGTGAAAAAGCTGGCTTAAAGCTCAACATTCAGGAAACTAAGATCATGGCATCCGGTCCCATCACTTCATGGCAAATAGATGGAAAAACAATGGAAACAGTAGAAAACTTTATTTCTTTGGGGTCCAAAATCACTGCAGATGGTGATTGCAGCCATGAAATTAAAAGACTCTTGCTCCTTGGAAGAAAAGCTATGACCAACCTAGATAGCATATTAAAAAGTAGAGACATTACTTTGTCAACAAATGTCCATATAGTCAAAGCTATGGTTTTTCCAGTAGTCAGGTATGGATGTGAGAGTTGGACTATAAAGAAAGCTGAGCGCTGAAGAATTGATGCTTTTGAACTGTGGTGTTGGAGAAGACTCTTGAGAGTCCCTTGGACGGCAAGGAGATCAAACCAGTACATCGTAAAGGAAATCAGTCCTGAATACTCATTGGAAGGACTGATGCTGAAGCTGAAACTCCAATACTTTGGCCACCTGATGCAAAGAACTGACTCATTGGAAAAGACCCTGATGCTGGGAAGATTGAAGGTGGGAGAAGGGCATGACAGAGGATGAGATGGTTGGATGGCATCACCAACTCGATGGACATGAGTTTGAGTAAGCTCCAGGAGTTAGTGATGGACAGGGAAGCCTGGTGTGCTGCAGTCCATGGGGTCACAAAGAGTCGGACACAACTGAGTGACTGAACTGAACTGAATGTCTTACCACAAAAACTCATTCAATGCATTAACCTCGTTAAAGTGAAGAAAAGGCATTGTGATTTCCAAAGTGAACACACAGTAGGTTGCAAATATTTCCCTATACAGATAATTATTTTTCCCCCCATTCTCAGCTATAATTGGGCTTCCCTGGTAGCTCAAATGGTAAAGAATCTGCCGGCAATGCAAGAGACCCAGGTTCAATCCCTGAGACAGGAAAATCCCCTGGAGAAGGGAATGGCAACCCATTCCAGTATTCTCCACCCTGTTCCCCCAACTCCACCCCACCCAGAACCTGTTTTGGGGCTTCCCAGGTGGCGCTGGTGGTAAAGCATCTGCCTGCATTGCAGGATTCCATCCCTGGGTCGAGAAGATCCCCTGGAGGAAGAAATGGCAACCAACTCCAGTATTCTTGTCTGGAGAATCCCATGGACAGAGAAGCCTGGCGAGCTCCAGTCCACGGGGTCACAGAGAGTCAGAGGAGACCGAGTACACACTTGGCACACAGCTGTAATTACTGAAAGCTCAAATAACAGGCTTACTAAGATACCATACAGGGGCTGAAGCCCGTTCCTCTATCATTCAAGTTTGGAAATTCCTCTAGGAGACTGTCATTTTTCCCTTTCACCTCAAGAAAGACTCCGAATCAAGCCGACTGTCTTGCCCACTTCAGCAATGCTAACCAGCTATGGACCACATGTAAGGAAATACAACTGTTGAGAGTTCACAAATCAACTATGGCATTAGGAATATGGAGAAAATAAAATTGCAATCTAAAGATTGAAACTTTATTCATTCATCGCAAAGAAAAAAAGAGTCATTTTTCAAAGTGTCCAAACACGATTTGGAGGTCTCTGAAAACATGCAAACTAATTCCCTAAGAACAGCTCAGTTTTTAAACTTTGCAATGTAATAAACTATGGAGTTTGTGCAAAGCTTTGCTAAACATTTTTCAATACACTGACTCATATTAACCCCTTGTGACAACCACTTGAAAAATGGTACAGGTAAGATGTTTTCTCCTTATACTAAACTGAAGAAACAGACTAAAAGAGTTTCAGAAATCTATCAAGGACACACAGCTAAGAAGTAAATTAAGTCCCTGACAGATTATTCTGAGTTCAAACTGATACTCAGATGTGGCCCTCACTAGGGGATATAAGATTTGGGAGGCCCATAAGATTTCTAATCTTTGCCTGTCATTTCAATCTCTTTTAAATTATGTCTCATTTGTATTAAGCACCTTGATGTCCAAAAAATGGAACTATGCATCCTGAGTTAAATCATGTTTCCAGTATTTGTCACACTCACAAGAACACTATAATCCCATTTATAACACGGTTCTTATGTTGGTTCTTTGACCATAACTATGATCCCAACAGTCAGGAAAGGGTATAAAAAGGTTTTTCAGCTATCTGAATGGTCTAATTAACTGATGCCTCACCTTTAGTTGAATTTACAATTTTCAGAGCTGGAGACCACGCAATTCACACAACACTAAAATAATATAGAACAATTTAAAGCTGACTTACTAGTGTAAGTCTTTCAGAATCACATTAATCCTCTAGGGTCAGGATTATGAACTGCAATTATCCCTGAGCAGTACAATAACTATGAAAGAGCAGCTTCAGATATATTTATAACAAATCCGGCAGTTACTGTTTTTAAAACTCTAATAAAAGATTATTTTGTCATCTGTCTTTTCCTGAAAGCAGTATGCAAAAAAAAAGGATACTGGGTTATTGGATATTTATGGATGAAATCCAGATAAATGAATGCTTATTTTAACATGAGTTGGAATTTTCACT